TTCTGTTATTCTATAATAATTTGACATCTGCATGCCTGTGGGTATCTAACACCATTACAATGGATAAAACTGTTAGATGATGATTTTCAAAAATATGTTTCTTATTAAAATCAATTTGATTTAAATAACTTTACACAATAGTAAATGCGACCGTATAAAAAAGAAAAATTCTTCACACTTTCAGGTTTACTCGCAAATAATTCCTAGGGTAAATTGTTTCTCAGTTCATGCCCAGACTTGTTTAACCTCGTCTTTGTGTACTGGACTGAATAGACGCTTTGCATTATTTTGCAGTGTTTGTTCAAACAATGTCTCTCAACTTCAACGTAGTTTCGCCGTCAGCACTGCTCATATACCATGAAATTTGATACATCGACACTACCATCTTAAAATACACAACGTACTTGTGATTTCATTTATATTGATTAAATACAAACAACAAAACACGAATATTCAAACGAGTTGAAAATGGAAAAGTAAATGCCATCGCCGGTCAGCATTTTCATTGGGGAGAAGTTCTGTTCTCGAGATTAGTGTCCTATTTTAGATTGACTTAAATTGTAACTTTTGGGCTATTTTTTACAGCAAGTCTCAGAAATATTGGGGGCAGTCAATTTGCAAACTCGCTAGTGAATTGACTAACTGCTTTGGTCTTGACTAAACGGTTGGCTTTCGAATATCGCTGGCACCGTCTGTTGGTCACGCCCACTCTGGGAGAAACAACAAGCTATATAACAGTAGGGGACGGTCTTACAGTTGAATGGCGATTTTGCATTCAAATATACAATAATTTTTGTGCATGACCCATGGCTTAACTTTATCCAACAATTACTTGTGATAACAGATCTACCTAAATCAGATCCATATCAGAATATCTATGCCCCAAAGTTGGAAGATTTTAGCATGGATAAATTATTTCTTATTATTGTTTCAAGTAATGATTCTTTCATCTTTAGCATTTTGGCAAAATTTATTTTCTATATTCTTAATATGTTTTAGTACTGTAAGTTTTGTTGTCCTGAATGTTTTGTTTTGTTATTATTATTGGACTTTACTCAAGATTTCATTGGGTACACAATGGACTGTAAGAGGTTTGTACGCTTAATACGGTATTATTTGTTATTGTTACCTCGTTCTGTTATTCTATAATAATTTGACATCTGCATGCCTGTGGGTATCTAACACCATTACAATGGATAAAACTGTTAGATGATGATTTTCAAAAATAAGTTTCTTATTAAAATCAATTTGATTTAAATAACTTTACACAATAGTAAATGCGACCGTATAAAAAAGAAAAATTCTTCACACTTTCAGGTTTACTCGCAAATAATTCCGAGGGCAAATTGTTTCTCAGTTCATGCCCAGACTTGTTTAACCTCGTCTTTGTGTACTGGACTGAATAGACGCTTTGCATTGTTTTGCAGTGTTTGTTCAAACAATGTCTCTCAACTTCAACGTAGTTTCGCAGTCAGCGCTGCTCATATACCATGAAATTGGATACATCGACACTACCATCTTAAAATACACAACGTACTTGTGATTTCATTTATATTGATTAAATACAAACAACAAAACACGAATATTCAAACGAGTTGAAAATGGAAAAGTAAATGCCATCGCCGGTCAGCATTTTCATTGGGGAGAAGTTCTGTTTCTCTAGATTAGTGTCCTATTTTAGATTGACTTAAATTGTAACTTTTGGGCTATTTTTTACAGCAAGTCTCAGAAATATTGGGGGCAGTCAATTTGCAAACTCGCTAGCAAATTGACTAACTGCTTTGGTCTTGACTAAACGGTTGGCTTTCGAATATCGCTGGCACCGTCTGTTGGTCACGCCCACTCTGGGAGAAACTTCAAGCTATATAACAGTAGGGGACGGTCTTACAGTTGAATGGCGATTTCGCATTCAAATATACAATAATTTTTGTGCATGACCCATGGCTTAACTTTATCCAACAATTACTTGTGATAACAGATCTACCTAAATCAGATCCATATCAGAATATCTATGCCCCAAAGTTGGAAGATTTTAGCATGGATAAATTATTTCTTATTATTGTTTCAAGTAATGATTCTTTCATCCTTAGCATTTTGGCAAAATTTATTTTCTATATTCTTAATATGTTTTAGTACTGTAAGTTTTGTTGTCCTGAATGTTTTGTTTTGTTATTATTATTGGACTTTACTCAAGATTTCATTGGTACATTCCAAATAAAATTCTACTATACTATACTATACCAGGGAAACTGTTCTCATATACTAGTAGTAAATATCGGTAGATTAATCGCATTCATGATATTATCGCGTGTACGCTGATTGTGGCCATTCTCAGGCTGACCAGGGAAACTACTTTTTACGTTATCACGTCTCGCGTAACAAAGCATATCATTCAGGGGAATCCACGCATGTACCAAGCTACG